AGAATATAACATTTTGTAAATTTTAGTAAGGACAGGTGAAAGACCACTTATTCATGAATGAATAGTTTAGACAGTCTGGTTTTCATAAAAACTGGTCAATTGAACCTACAGATATTCCCACAGGAAATAATGTGAGGCAATATTTCATACACTAGAATGGAAAGTGCATGGCTGGCAAGATTGAATTATTTGAGGCAGTACGGGAAGAGTGTGATTGTTGTGAGTGATAAGGTCTTTGTGATTAGATAAAAATGGAAAGCACTACTTACCATGCCAATACAGAACAAAACAAACAAGAGTAACCATGGGATGTCAGTACAACTATGCTCTTCCAGTGGCCTCCAGTCCCTCTTAGAGCTCTGAAAATTAAAAACGACAGAAAAAGGATAAGAAAATGAGAAGACTCTCCACAATTTATTAAACTCATCTTATTTTATTTCAGAGTAACCAACGCTTGTGATTGTTCGGTGATTTCTTGACTGGCCAAAGACATGAAGGTGGTTGAATGTGCATGTACTGTATGATCCTCCTTGTGGAGGAAGGACAAAGCATTGCACAGCATTTTGGAAACATGTCTGCTAAGCAGAGTGGAGCCATCACAGTGGCCAGAAGCATCAACGATCGCTGATACAGAGTAGGTCATTGTGTAAGCTGTAACAAAAAGGTAATTGTGTAAGCTGTAAGAAAACAAGTAGACCAAACTACCATCGTTTACGAGGATTACTGTATGTATGAAAAGTGTACCAACACAAAAAAAAAAATAGAAAAATATTTTTTTATTTTTTTGCCCATGGCAACCAATTAGAATTCTGGTTTCATTTTCAACGTGAACGTGCAGCGGAAAAAGCCGACTAAATTCTATGGTCAACAAGAAATGTTTCCTAAAATTTTATGTTTATGGTCATCTTATCACCACACTGCAATACCATCCCACTTGCTATTCTACGCACAAAATTAAAAGCAAACCTCTGAAAAATGCCTAACTGCAAATGTGTTCTAGCCAAAAAGCTGTGCTCAAAGCCAGATTAATTTTTTGTATAACCTCTTACAAATCATTTTGCAATTTCAGTATGTGTGATGTGACTCACTCCTTATCAACTGAACAAAGCCAATATAATTTGGGATAAGACTGGAAAGAATGGTTAATTCCACTATAATATAATGATACAACCGTGAACAAAAAAAAAAAATATGCAGAAAAGAAATAGACACCGGCACAGGAACCCCTTCATCAGGCAAAAATCAGGCACTTGTTTTGCCTGATGAAGGGGTTCCTGTGTGTCCCCGAAACGTCGCACTAAGTGTGTTATTTTGCTTTTGATGTACGTCAATAAATAGACGTAATCGATTTATTATTGGAGTGCCGGTGTCTATTTCTTTTCTGCATTACTTTGACGGTGGCCATCCGTCGACTACTGAGCACCCAGGATACTTTGTTGGACTTGCGGTCAGGAGTGCAATGGGTACATGGACTGCAAAAAAAAAAATATGACACCTGAGGATTTTGTGTCTGAACAACTAATGGACATTGAAGGTTAATGATAGATGTTGCTTAATCAACAAGTAAAATTCAACAGAAAAAACATTATCCATTCATTCATGTGAGTGGTACGTTATTAAAAAAAGGGTTAAATAGATTACTGAATGAAGACTTGATACAGCCAGTACTTAAGTAATCTGCTCAACTGGGTCCAATTACAGTTGTTAAACACAGGCTACCAAGGAAAAGAGCCATTTCCTTTATTTGTTCTGACTAGATTAGCACAGTGGAGAAAAGGGCTTCAAGGCGGTCATTTAGACTCATCAGGCAAAACACTACTGGAAACAGTGGAGATGTAATAAATGTTTCTAGCACAGATGCTGCATCCACCATCAATACAGAACCAAGATAAAGCTTGTGTAAATTTTCACTACAAATGCAGATTTAACCTATAATGTCCAACTGGCAACTAGTGCTGCAACGAACGACTATTTTCATAATTATTTTTTATTGATTAATCGATTAATCGAATTTAAAAAAAAAAAAAAAATACCATCCTTAATTTAAAATAAAATTCCACAAATGCACTGTTACAAACATAAATTTAACTTCAGAATAAAACTGATGCACACATTTTTGCAATCACACTGCACTGGAACACATGGCATTACAGTACTGCGCGTTACAGTGTGGGCGATCGCACTGTGGGTGGGAGGCGTGTTTGGCGTGCCATGTCAAACCGAAAATGATTTCCCCCCCACCTTTTTCAAAATTTGTAGACATTTGAATTAGTTGTTTCATGGATTTAAAATAATTTTAATTGAAAAACAAGAAGCTATAATAATAAAAGAACCAACCTTTTATTATAAATATTATATAATCTTAAAA